GAGAACCACATGGCATCTGTGCATATGTTCTATGGGGACTCTGCCCTCCTCTTCTCCCCAACCTGTGCTTCTTGGGTTGCTGTGCTTTCCCCTTACTTTGCTACATTTCTATAGTTAAGTTGGTTTTACTTGAATGATTCATGTTTAGGGGAAAAAGAAAAACACAAAATTTGTTTCAACTCCTCCTGCAAATAAAAACAATAAAGGAAGAAAAAAAAAAAAAAAAACACTAAGGCTGAAGCACAGATCAAAGTACAAGAGGCCGAACTATTCTGGCAGAAACTCTATTCCATGAATTCCTTCCTGGAATATAATTTCCATAGACCATTGTTTGCTCTTCAAAGTAGATAGGAATTATATGAAAGCAGTATATAAAAATAAAATTAGTAATAAAATTAATTTTTTTCTTTGTTAATTAACTTAATACTGTCCTTTGAAGAGGTATCATTTTCACATAATTCATTCATCTGCATTCACTGTTTGGGGTTAGAATAAGTTTTCTTAGAAAGAAAGGAACCAGATTCCACTTCTAGGTTTATGCTTAATGAAGAAGCATATAAGATATACAAGATGGTGCTGTTAGTGGGTAGCTATAAGAACATGGTAGGTTAAATTCACAGCTGCACGCTTTCTCTACTGAGGGAAGGTTTTCAAAAAAAGCATGTGCTGTACTTGTATGTTTTTTAGATTTGAAAGAAATGAACTGGGGGAAAGCTAATGATAAATAACATCACCTTTGAATCTTACATAGTAAAAACTTCTTTTTCCATGAATTAGATATTTACTGAAATATAGCTTGACTTATTTCATAAACAACAATAATGTATAGACAAAAATAACTGCTATGAAGTGTACAGCCTTTTGTCATCTGTTTTAAATGCATGCAAGATTCATGTTAGATGTGAACAGTACTATGAGACTTTTTTTTAATCTATTCATTCATTAGTGCATAATGGTCATGCAGATTAATGGGTTTCATTTAGACAGAGGTGTACAGTACATATATGTAACATACTTTAATCATTCCCTGAAGTAACTGCTTGTGCAACCATATATGTAGTTTCACAAAGGAATATTTAGAATTAATTTTATTCCTTTTAAAATTGAAGTGATACCAAAATTTTCTAAGTCCTTCTGATAGGTTGAATAATGGCTAATATCAGCTCAAATTTACTAGAAGCTCTAAATATGATCTTCTTTTCCCCATTTTGAGAGTATTTTTATTTTTATTTTATTTTTCCCATAATTTTATTGAGAAACAAATAGAAATGAGGCAGTTTCAAACCAAATTTGTAGGACAGTTTCAATAATTAACATATTGCATACATTCTTCCTAGTGGTTAATTGCTGTACAAGATGCAGACATGATACCCTATTTACAAACACTATTAGAACAAATCCCTCTATCCATTAAGAGAATGTAACTATATATCTATTCTAACCATTTTGAATACACAGATACAAAATGGACATTCATCTGCATCCCCTTTTTATGTGTAGCTCTGTTATTTGAATATTATAGGTGTGTTAACACAGCAAAATATTCTAAAAGAGTCCAGTAGTCCATAATAGTATTGGGTCTTCTGCTTCACCAGCAGTGACAGAAATTGTTGACCTGAGTCCCCTACAACTCAACATAGGAGCATGGCTTTACTTCTTATACTTCATTTTTTTACTTTTATGCTGGATGGTTAAAACCAAGATAAAGCAAGACCTATGCAACAAGAGTTTTAGCTTTTGGGTCTGATAAGGTCAGTGAAATGCCCTCAGGATTTATCCTGAGATCCTGTACCTCAGACTGTAGATCCTTTCTCAGTGTCAGCCATATGGATGAGTGTCAGCTTGGCCAAGGAGGTCCACGTAAAAGGCTGAGAAAATGTTTTTTCTCCATGTGACTCTCCTAAGGCACACTCTACATCATCGATCACTTTCCTCTTTGGACCCATAATCTCCAGAAAATTTGGAACACTACTGAGATACGTGACATTACAGTACAAGATCTCATATGTCCCGAGTCTTAATTGATCTTGGAAGGCTAGGGTCAAAATGTTGGCTTTCCTAACAGCCCTCTTTTTTCTCTAACTTTGGGCTGCAAACTTAGGTTGTTAACCATCCAGAAGAGAAGTTTATTGTTATTACCATTCAACCTAGGATGTTAAGCTTAACCTCACTATCTGTCTGAATATCAAACATCTTAGGCATAACATGGAACATCAATACTTTTCATCAAGTATTGATATGTTGAACTTTAAGTCCCTACAGAATATGATGAAGAAACATTTAAAAAATTAAAATATATTTTAAAAATAGGCATAAAGAATTATATAATTCTGATGTTTACATGTAAGTCCAAAAATCTAACCATATACAACCTTGTAGAAGAACAGTCCTGCAACATTCCTTTTCCTGTCTACTGCTTTCATTCACCACCACCTTCTTTTTGAACAATCATCTTCCCAAGAGACAGCACAGCAGCAACTGGCATGTCATGACTAGGAGCCTGTATTCAGAACACCAGAATGACAGGCACTCCAAGCATGAACGTACTATTACAAATTGCCTTCTTCAGTTCACAGGTGTTAACATATATAGTTAGTCAAGGTGAGAATCTTTTCAATTAACTGCTAGATTAAAAAATCTTCTGGAGATTCTCAGTAACATTGCCTTGCCCATCTTCTACATATAACTTATAGTTGAAACTTACATAGTTTCAAGCCAGGTTTGTCCCTGTCATGTTTCCTAGTTCTTCTCCTTTCCCTCTCTTAATTAGTTAGTCCTCCAGTTCTTGCTTTCCTTTTATTTGTATTATAACTTTCTATTTGTACTTCTTCTTTTGTGTTCTTATGCTAGGGAAACTACATGATATTTACACATGTGTGTCAGTTTATTTCATTTATGATTATATTTTCAAGTGGCATCCACTTCAACATAAAGGCTTCGAGTTTATCATTCTTTATAGCTAAGTAATACTCCATTGTATAAAAATACCACATCTCTTTCATCCATTCCTCAGGTGATGGGCATCTTGGTTGTTTCCAAGATTTGGCTATCACAAATTGTGCTGCTATAAACATAGGCACAAATGTATCCCTATGATATGATGTTTTCAGATCCTCTGGGAAAATACTCAGTAGAGGAATAGCTGGTTTAAATGGGATTTCCAGTCCAAGTTTTCTAAGGAATTTCCACACTGATTTCCACAAAGGTTTCACCAGTCTACATTCCCACCAGCAGTGGAGAAGGGTTCCCTTTTCCGCACAGCTTCTCCAACATTTGTTGTTGGTTGATTTCTTTAAGATAGCCATTCTTTCTGGGGTGAGATGATATCTCAGTGTTGTTTTAATTTGCATTTCACAGATGGCTAGTGATATGGAACATTTTTTCATATATTTATTCACTTCTTTAATTTCATCATCTGAGAAGTGTGTGTTCCTCTCAGATGCCCATTTCTTGACCGAGTCTTTAAATTTTGGGGCCCTAATGTTTTTTAGTTCTTTATAAATTCTGAAGAGTAGAACTTTGTCTGAGTACGTATTTGTCATGATTTTTTCCAAATTTGTGGGTTGTCTTTTCACTTTGTTGGTAATCTTTTTGATGTGCAAAAACTTGTCAATAAGAGCAGGTCCCTGTTGTTAATTCTTTGAAGTGTTGCCCTTGTGATTTGATTTTTGATCATGGACTCTTTGTTTATGAACTCATGTCTTCAAGAGTTCCTCCTACTTTCTCTTCCAGGAGATTTAGTTTTACTGTTTTAATGCTTAGATCTTTAATCTGTTTTGACTTTAGCTTAGTGCATGGTATTAGACCTGGGCCAAGTTTTAGTTTTGGCATGTAGAGAGCCAGGTTTTCCAGCACTATCTATTAAAGAGTCTATCTTTCTTCCAGTGAGTATGTTTCATAACTTTATCAAAGATAAGGTGGCTGATAGTGTTTGTAGGGCCTTCAGAGTCTTTTAATCTATTTCACTATTCCTCAGGTCTATTTTGATTCCAGTACCATGCTGATTTTATCATAGTAGCCTTGTAGGATAGTTTCAAGTCAGGAATTGTAATGCCTCCTGCCTTGTTTTTATTGCCCAGGATTGCTTTTGCTATTCTTGGTCTTTTCTGGTTCCAAAGAAATTTTAGGAATGATTACTCTAGCTCTGTGAGGTACGTTGGTGGTAGTTTGATAGGGATTGCATTAAATCTGTACAGCAGTTTTGGGAGTATGGCCATCTTCACAATGTTAGTTCTTCCTATCCAGGAGTATGGAATATCTTTCCATTTTCAATACTCCTCTACGATCTCTTTTTTAAGAGTACTATAATTTTCCTTGAAAAGATCTTTGAATTCTTTAGTTAGATTAATTCCAAGGTATTTCATTATCCTTGGTCCTGTGTAAAAGGTATTGTTTCTATAATTTCAATCTCAGTGTGTTTGTTATTCGTGTAGAGGAATGGTATTGACTTTTGGGTATTGACTTTATAACCTGCTATGCTACTGAATTTCTTTATTAATCCTAGTACCTTCTTGGTGGAGCTTTTTGGATCTTCCAAGTGAAGTATCATGTCATCTGCAAATAAGGATAATTTAACTTCTTCTTTACCTATTCTTATTCCTTTTATTTCTTTCTCTTGTCTAATGGCTGTAGCTAATGATTCCAGAACTATATTGAATAAG